AGAGTCAAGTTAGGCATTTTCTGAATTTTTGACATGCCGAGCCCAAAAGGTTCGCTGTCGCTGGTCTAGCCCCTGCTTGAATACACATATCCAACAAAGAAGAGACCTCTATCTCTTTGGGTCACTGGTTTCACCACCAAAGTGCTTTTCCTGTTGGTTTTTTTTCCCCTGAACCTTCAATCAGAATCTTTGTTTCTATAACTTAACTTCTTTAACATCCTGAACTTTTGAGCAAGAGAGAATATGGTTTGACTTTCTAGGTGACATCAGGTATTTGAAAGAGGGCTATGAAAAACCCTCTCATTTCATCACCCAGCCTCACCTTCTTCCTCTTTCTATGCCTAGAAAAGGGAAAGCTTGCACCTGGCCATAATCTATTACTCTCAGGGGACTTTTGAAATTATCCAATATGTGAGTTGCCTCTGTTTATCCAAGGCAAAATCAAGTTGCCTCCTGTTTATCCAAGGCAGTGAAAAATGGGCAGGTCTGTTCCTTTCCATTCCTTTTCTATAGAACTTCTGTCTCTCTCTCAGTGACTCATAAAGTTGGAAGGGAGATTTCACCTGTTGAATCCAATCCCTGCTCATTGCAGGAATCCAAATTAAAGTATTCCAGCAAGAACTGTCTAGCCCCTGCTTGAATATACTGTACATATCCAACAAGGGAGAGACTACTATCTCTTTGGGTCATTGGTTTCACCTCAAAGTGCTTTATCTGCTGAAGTTTTTTTTTTTTTTAACCTTCAATCAGAATATTTATCCTATAGCTTAACTTCTTTAACATCCTGAACTTTGGAGCAAGACAGAATATGGTTTGACTATCTAGGTGACAGCCTGGCAGGTATTTGAAAGAGGGCTATGAAAACCCTTCTCATTTCATCATCCGGCCTCTCATTCTCTCTCTTTCTATGCCCAGAAAAGGGAGAGCTTGCACTTGGCAGTCACCTGTCACTTTCAGGGGACTTTTGAAATTTTGAAAGGTGATCTATATTAAATTGTCCTGCTATGTCCCAGTCCAACTTTAGTCCTAATTTATTGTCTTTGTTATTAAAATGAAGACAGCTCTGTGTAAAGTGCTGTCATTTCTAAGAGTCCGGCTCCCTCCTTAATTTGGTGTCCACTAGATATGATGGACTTCAATTTCCAGAATCCCAACCCACAAAATGGCATGTTGGATGGGAATTCTGAGAGTTGGTCAAGGATTGATTGATGATGTGCTATCAAGTCATTGTTGACTCCTAGCAACCACATAGATAGGCTTTCTCCATGACAATCTGTCCCTATCCTGGTCTTTCAGGTCTTCCAGTGGTGTATCCATTGCCACCGTAACTGAGTCCATCCACCTGGCTGCTGGTCATCCTCTTCTTGTCTTTCCTTCCACCTTTCCCAGCATTAGAGCCTTTTCCAGAGACCTGGGTCTTTGCATAATGTGTCCGAAGTAGGATAATTTGAGCCTAGTCATTTGTTCCTCAAGTGAGAACTCTGGGTTGATTTGTTCGATGATCCATTTGTTTGTTTTCTTGGCTGTCCATGGTATTGTCAGGAGTCTTCTCTAACACCAAGTTCAAAAGCATCAATATTCTACCCATTCAGGTTCAACCTTTGCTTCCATAGAGTGTCACAAGGAATGCCATGGCTTGCATGATCCTGATCTTTGTAGGAATGGTCTCATTGAGGCATTTGAATATCCTTTCAATACATTACTTGGTGGGGGAAAGTTATACTAATAGATGCCATGGTCCAGTCTGGTTCCTTTTTCTCATTTTATTTTATTTTGTTAAAACTAATCGATGTGCAAGGCCAACTGCACAGTAATTATCACATCTGTTTGGCCTGTAGGCAAATAGCCCAGACAGTTGTTTGCTGGGTTCATATACTGTAACACACTGAATTTGTTGAATCATAAATTAATCAATTCATTGGCTTCACACAACGTGTTAAGCCAGTCATACACACACATACACACACACCAAGATTAACATTAACCAAGCTAACTACTAAGTTCAGTATGTGGTGTGTATTGTTTTTCTAACCAAAAGAACATTAATCACTTTCTCTTTTAAATCAACAGAGGAGATCATTATTGCAAAATACATCAAAACTTTATTCATTCAGGCAGAATGTGCCTAATAAGACACACTGAAATGCATCATACTCCCTATCTTAAACCAGGGGAAAAAAATAAAAAATAAACCCAAACTAGAAATTGTATCAAAATAGACATTGATTCCTTGTCGGTGCAAAGCTTCACATAGCAAATTAAACCGGAAGAGTCCTGAAAGTAGCAAAAACGGTATTTTTGCTATTGAGCGAGTATGGTGCCATCTGTGAGTCTCTGTGTTTGTCATTCTCCTGAGAAGGGCCCTTTCCCCAGTCACCCAGATCCATGACTCGAGCACATCCTGCAAACATCTTTCATTCTCCCCAGTTCCCATGAATTTGCCTCTCTCTCATCCCAGCCCATGAAAGAGACAGTTTTAGCTCATCCTGAGCTGTCCATATAGTACTGCTCTTAAAGTCCTATTCTATATTCCCCTTTACTCTGACAGTCCCCAGGCAGCCTCAAGGGGTGTATCATCTGTCAGGCTCTAATGTCACTTAGATGTCTAGGGAATTCTGGGAGTTGAAGTCCACGCATCTTAAAGTTGCCAAGGTTGAGAAACATTGGCTTGGATAAAGCAAAGGACATAGCCGCCCAGAGTCGCTTTGTGTGAGATGGGCGGCTATGTAAATGTGATGTATAAATAAAATAAATAAAAAAATGTCCAAACAGAAGCCAGAGGACCAGCAGCGACTGGCGAGAGAGGCAGGATAGGGAACAGCAACAGGCACAGCCAATTTCAGCTGACTGAAAGATGGGCAAACACTTTAACTCGATTGCGGGGAAAAGCTCCAGAAAGCAAAATCTCTGATATGAGGTATTTACCACAGAAAATGGCTTCTGGGGATTTTTTTGCTTTGGCTTGTAAATGTATGCCCTTAAAACAAGATAATTCATGGATTTGAAAATGTGCTGGACAAGAGACACACAGCCGTGCACAGTCACACTGGAAACTATGTACAGAATTCACTGCCCCCATGATTCATATATATAGGAATACCAACCAAACGTAACATATTATGTTAGGAGAATATCTGATTTATTTATTTTTTTGATTTATATCTCACCTTTATTTCTGAATAGGCGGCATACATACTGCTCCCACCTCCTATTTTCCTTACAACAGCCCTGTGAGGTAGGTTGGACTGAGCGACAGTGACTGGCCCAAAATCACCCAGCTGACTTTCTTGCTTAAGGGAGGCCTAGAACTCAGTAGATTAGACCAGTGTTTCTCAACCTTGACAACTTTAAGAGGGGTGGACTTCAGCTTCCAGAATTCTCCAGCCAGCCATGCTGACTGGGGAATTCTGGGAGTTGAAGTCTGCACATCTTAAAGTGGCCAAGGTTGAGAAACACCGAACTAGATTAAAATTGGGACCAGAATGGCAAGGTAAGTATTTAGCCTAGAGTGTAAATTGCATTTAGAGATGCTAAATGCCACACAGCTGCATTCTTTTTGTCTTTCCAGCAACTGTTTTCATCATATTTTGAATACTGGTTATTTGGGGAATACAATCAACTCTTTTGTAAAAGCAGCCATATATATGTGTGTGTGTGTTTATGTTCAATTCAGTAACACTCTGCACCAGAGATTAGTAAGCACCATCAGTTGCAGAGAAAATGAAACTAACAGGAAGAGGTTATAGTGGGATTTGGAGTTTCAAATGTATAGATAGCTAAGGATGTAAGGTTACTGTAGATACTGGAATCTAGCTGGCTTGGATCATGTGAAAAAAGTTAAGCCAGGACACAGCTGGTCACTTTTGGGATGAGAGATCATCAGGAATCCCAGGAATAGAGACCAAACAGGGGAATTCAGAAAACAACATGTCTTTGTCCATATCATCACCAGGAGTCTAACTCAAGTCGAGGAACATTTTACCTTTTAAGGAGTTAAAAGACAAGAAGGGTTGAGTGTTCTATTTCCTATTTTCTTCTTGATATCCTATTTCCTATTTTCTTTGCTTTATCTAAGCCAGTGTTTCTCAACCTTGGCAACTTTAAGATGTGTGGACTTCAACTCCCAGAATTCCCCAGTTAGGCTGGCTGGGGAATTCTGGGAGTTGAAA